GAGCCAGAACATAGCAGGAAGATGGTCCTTGGGACTTGGGATAGCACAACTCTTTCCGGATAGACTTCAGGGAAAGGAGCTATCTCAGGGGCAGAACCCATGAGCACTGTGGGGCCTCTGGTATCATATAGCTCCATCAGTTCTAACCTGGCTCCCAGATAAGGCCAGGATTTTTTCCTTAATAAAAAGTTGTTTTTTTAAACTCTTGCCCTATGTTAAGGCCAATAGGTCAAGGCAAAATGGATGATTATTTCCATTGTTGGCTAACTTTGGAAAGCAGACAAGGAAGGAGTTCTACAAGTTCTACGGATTTATTTAAAAATAAATCTACACATGCCTGACCTATGAGGATTATTTCTCAATAATTCTGAATTAGCTGAATACTTAGATAACATCTTGCTTCTATTTTGCCATATGGACAAAACCATATTCCATTTGTATAGCTGCCTGTAACCTTTCATACTGACTTGAAGTTCTCCTTTTGGCAGTCCTAACCCTTTACTCCCCTCATTTTGCAGCTGGTATAAAAACGTACTTCAAGTTGTCATTTTGCAAAAGGCCAGAAATGAACTATCTTCCTTTTAGGATCCAGTATGCATAACTTTCATGGCTATTTCCCCCTTTTGGTTTTACAGCAGGAGAAAATGGCATGTAACGTCCCTAACCAAAGACAGCGGACTATGTCAACCTCTGGAGAAGCTCTGTATGAAATTCTTGGTCTGCATAAGGGAGCATCAAATGAAGAAATTAAGAAAACCTACAGGTACAGAGGCAGTTCAATGATGACATATCCTGTACTACTAGAGGTGGTTATTTTGTGATTGGCAAGGGCCTTCAATTAAAGATATTTGCTCTCTGCTAAGACCAGGTAATCTCAGTTTGGGAGCTCATGTTCCCTGTTCCATAAACACAGGCAGTTAGGAATAGAGAGGCAGACACTGATTTTATGAAAGAACTGTCACATGATGCTGGGCCTTAGGAAAGGGCAGCCTATGTTCTAAGCCTACAATGAGAGAGGTAGGGGTGAGAGAAGGGTGGGGGGAAGAAAGGAAGGGAGAGAGGAGGAAGAGGAGGAGGAGGAGGAGGAGGAGGAGGAAGAGGAGGAGAGAGATGGAGAGAGAGAGATCTCACTGTGAATGAATAAGAGTTGTGATTAAGCCCATAACCCATAAAATATAGTTTCAACAAGTCTTTTTTTTTTTTAAGGGGGGTTTGTTGCTGTATTGTATGCTATACTTTTTAACTCTTCAGTTTTGATCTTTCATATCTGATTTAGTTTCCAGTTAGCTATTTTTGGGAAAATTTGAAACACTTTTTTATTTAAACCTCCAAGGATTTTTTTTAAAAGGATTGAGTACAAAAATAATTTATTTATTATAGAAAAATTGGAAACTACTAAAAATAACATATATCCATAATTCTATCTCTAATGATAATTATCACTGATATTTTCCCCTTCTAGTCTTTTTTTCCTGTTTAAATAAGACATTTTAAACTTAAATTGGATTCATCTATATTCTCTTTCACTTTAACAAGGTTCTATCATAAAAGTATACTGGTGTTATTAAATATTTTGATTTTTAATGCTATGGCTATTCTCTAATTACCTTGTTAGCTATTTTTAAAAACATGTACATTCTTTTAATTTTTCCCTAGAGTTAATTTCCTTGTACATAAAACATGATGTACATTTTCAATTATGTCCTTATTTATTGAGGAATAAAGTTGTGCTGTTAGAAAGAAAAATGAATCAAAATATAAATTAAAGTTTATTTTTAATCAGTTACTTCTTATTTGGCCTTGAATTAGGTTTTAAAAACTTATGGGGGTTTTTGATGTATGTAAGTTTAGAATTTTTAAGTAGATAAATTTGTTAGTCATTTGCTTTATGGATTTTATCTTATCTGTCATGGTTAAAAAGCCTCTCCCAATTACAATATTATAAAAATACTAGAGGCCCGGTGCACAAAATTTGTGCACGGGTAGGGTCCCTAGGCCTGGCTGGCAATCAGGGCCGATTGGGGCCTTCCTTTCCCTGGCTGCCGGCTGCCGGCCAAGGCCTTACTTAGTTCTGTGCCGCCCCCTTATGGTCAGTGCACATCATAGCGGTCAGTCGAACTCCTGAGGGGACAATTTGCATATTAGCCTTGTATTATATAGGATTAACCCATTTCTTCTAGCATACTTATGATTTTACATTTTTTATATTAAATCTTTGGTCAATTTGGAGTTTAACATGAGGAATGAAGGTATGATTTCACATTTATTTTTTCCTAAATCATTAGCCCACCAAAATTTACTGAATTCTCTCTTTTTATCTATTGATGGAAAAATTCTTTAGCTTTGTATTGGAACCTTCACTATGTGGTAAACTGTAGGACCCAAAAGGCCTTCAAGGAGCATGTGTTGAAGAATAGGTGACAGTGGTGGAAACTGCCATTTGAATCCAAACAGTTCTGTGAAAATGGTAAAGTTTGACCAAAGTCAGTGTCAATCTTCCAGCTTATATTTCATGTAAGGTAGTGGGGAGAGAAAGAGTCTTTGCCATTTTCTTGGGTCCTAGAGCTATCCAGGTGTGTGCCTGGGAGCTGCTCAGCCCTGTGCCTGGACACCCTTGTCAAGGGTTACTAAACTTGACTTTTAAAGCTTTGATGCTGAGACACTGTGCTGGGGTGGGAGTTGGGAATTAAAGTAATTGTATTATAAGCTTAATACCTACAAAGATGCTCTCAAAATTGAAAAAAAAGTGATGTCTAACTAACTACCTTGTAAGTTTTAAAATTCACTTTACAAATGTGACTTTTAATTGCCTTTATTAATTTTGTAAGCTAAAATTTCAGGTCATATCCTAATTAAGGCACTAATTATGCCGAGCTGTTTGCAAGTTTAATAATTACAACCTAAAGTCTTTTCATGTAGTCAACATCTTCCTATTAATTTTGTTTTAATGTCATACAAATATTATTTTTTCAGCTGATTAGGGTACTAGTATGCTGCCAAAAGCATCTGCTTCTATCTAAATTACACATTTGTATTCTGGAAGTTATTCAAAGTGTATGAGCAGGCTGAAAAACTACTCATAATATTATTGTCATATTCAGGGATCCGAATTAAAGCAGTCAAAATGTAGCGAAATTAAAAGTCAGTGAAATTTAATAAAATTACCAACTGTTGAATCCATACGCTGCTTGACCTCTGTTGCAATCCTTGGTTGTGCTCTTGAAAACAAGGCTGAGTTAGAAGACATTTTTTTTTCTTCATTTATATTTTATTTTTATTTTTGAATCGATAATATATTTACCTGATTAAAATGAGATCAAACAAACAGGTATACAAAAAATCTGATGATCTCCAAGTTCTGTCTCAGGGGAAAGCAATTCCCTGTGTACCCTTCTAGGGAGATCACCTACCTCTATAAGCATATATCCAGACTTTCTCATCTGGGCAAGACAGTACAGGTTTGTCTCTCTCTGATCCTCCCTGCTTAGCATGACTAAAAAGCCTTGGAAACAATGCAAGAGACAAGTAAAAGAGAACCTGGAAAGGCAGAAAGAGAAGATGAATTGGTTAGGGACCACAAGCTAGAAACTGCATGTTAAATCCAGAGTAGCTGCCCATTAAAATAAAAAAATATATAAATAGGAATTAGAGTCTCTTAATACAACAGCCAAAATGTCCACATGAAACTCACTCATTGTACCAAGAACCAAGAAAATCACAACTTACATGAGAAAAGATAATCATCTGACTTCCACACTGAAATGAACCAGATATTGGATTTATTGGTATTTTAAAGTAACTATAATAAAAAAGATTCAGCAAGCAATTACAAATTCTCTTGAAACAAGTGGAAAAAAAATAGAAAGTTCACCAAAGAAATAGAAATTATAAAAAAAGAACCAAGTGGAAATTATAGAACTGGAAAATAGCAGAAATGCTACAAGAAACTAGAAGACCTCTGTAGTAGAGGGAGCTGACTGAGGATAGAATCAGCGAAGTTGAGGACAGATCAATGGAACTTAACCAGCCTGAACAACAGAGAGAAAAATAAACTGAAAATAAACAACAGAGTCTTAGGAACTTGTACGGCTGTAACAAAAGATCCAACATGTATAGCATTAGAGTCTTAAAAGGGAAAGAAAGAAAATGGGATCAAAAGACTGTTCAGAGAAATAATGACTAAAAATTCCCCGAGCTTGGCAAATCTATAAACCTACAGATCAAGAAGCTGAGTGAACCATAAATAGGATAAATCTAAAGAAATCCATGCCAAGACACATCATAATTAAACTTCTGAGAGCTAAAGACAAAAAAAACCAAAAAACCCTCAAAAGCAGACAGAGAAACAACACATTATTTATGAGGGAACATCAATTCATATGACAGCAGATTTTTCATCTGAAACAACAGAGGCCAGAAGTGACACAACATTTTTCAAGTGTTAAAAATAAAGAGCTGTCAGCTGTGAATTCTGTGTTTGGTGATACTATACTTCAGGAATTAAGGGAAAATAAAAATAGTTTCAGATAAACAAAGAAAATGATGAAGAAAGGAATCTTAGATCGTCGGGAAGGGAGGAGAGAAAATGAAGAATGCAGAAATATGGGTAAATAAAATAGATAATCCTCCTCACTAGTTTTTAAATTACATATGATGATTAGTATAAAAATTATAACATTATCTGATACTCAAGACAATTATATCTAAAATTGAGGAGGGTAATGGGAGCCAAATGGGAGTCAAGTTTCTGCACTTCACTCAAATTGATAAAACAATATCAGTAGACTGTGATATATATATATATATGAATATGAGAATTTTATTCAAGTAACCCACAGGAAGACAAGAAAAGGAAAATGGAGGAGTGAGAAACAGAGGACACAAACAGAAAGCAAATAATAAAATGATAGACTTAAGCCCTGACATAACAAGTATATTAAAGGCAATGGTCTAAGCATATATTATATTTTCCTTCCTTGTTATACAAATGGTGGTGTACTATAACTCCTATTTTGTACTTTGCATTGTTCTCTTAACAATATACCTTGGAGATCATTCTCAGGAATTATCAGTTCATAAAAAGTTTCATGTACCCTGTTGATAAATATTTCGGTTGTTTTAAATCTAGGTTTCCTTTTAAAACCAACTTAGAGCTTCTCAGGAAAACCCCATGGTCCCAGAAAAGTAGATAGAGATGGGGAGAGGGAAACTATCTTTGTTCTGCCCACTTCCCAGTTTTTGCTATGCCCCTATTCCAAACCCCTGGAGCAAGGATCGAATAGACCCAGCTGCGTCAGACGCTCACCCAAGTCTGGCTGGCTCTGACTAGGGATCTGGAATCACAAATATCCACTACCTTAGCAAGAACTGTAGGATCCAACTCTTGGGAAGAAAAAGGGACAATATTCTCTAAGCGTGGGTATAGAGTTGGGAAGGAAATTACCAATATTTCTATTTCTTTATTCCCTTAAAAATTCACATAAATAGCAGCCTCATAGGCCTAGCTCAGCCCCTTCCTATGTTTATTTATAAGTCTTTATCATAAAATCTTTCTATGAGTAAAGCATCTATTTTTCATATGTCATCTTTTTCCC